TTCCACCAGATGTTTTCTTCAGCGTCCCATAACTTTTCCAAGCGTTGAGTCCTTATCCTATTATGATGTGCAAATAAATAATTACTAGTAAAATTTCCATGTGACAGTGCATCTGATCTTTTTGTAAACAACCGTTAAACTGTAGGTTTAATAGACCTTCTGATTAATCATCAGAAATAAGAGCGAGTCCACTCCAGTGCCCTGCACGCATGGAGGGTGTCACACTTTGGGATCACTCATTTCTTCACTTGAGTTCCAACTTGTTGCACATTAGCCGGTTGTTACTAGTGAGTTACACATTACATACCCAGGTTAATGTAGCTGGAGTGTGATGCCACTCCACGCTGATCAAAGTCTCGTGGCGTGATGATTTGCAGACTTCTGAGAAACTCCCTCTGCTTGCATGGAACAGTGTTACACACTTCACCCAGTAACAACACAAGGTCTTCAGCGAGCAACGCAGTGAAATGCGTTAAAATGTTGCTGTTTTGCTTTGCTTTGCAAAGCCTCGCAATTTCCTCCTTCATTATTATTCTAAGGGACGGGTTGTGATTGGCTCGCAGTCTGACGTCACGCGAAGTGCTCGAATCATGAAAAAAAAGGAAAAGCTCCTCGCTGGTGCTCAGATCGTGTCTGTTTCTCCTCTCTCAGGAAAAATCCGTAAAGTTTAAACACTAAAAGAAAAAAAGAAGAGTTAAACTCATGAAAGAAACCGGGCGAAGGAGCGAGCGTAGGTCGAACTCGTGTCACTGTTTTCTTTTTCGCTGTATGTGTGGGGTTTTTTAAAGACTTCAGAGTAGTTTGGGTTTTGTAAAGCGACTTTCCAGCTCTCTGGGATTGTCTCTCAACGCGAAGCTCCCGAGATGAACTTCGATCCGGTGGTCGGGAAACTTCATGTAAGTAAACACGACACTTGCTTTCTAAATACGCTCTTTGTTGAATGCCTACCACTCTATTTGCGTGTGTCCAGTGGATTGTTGATTCATTGACGCTCCTAACTTGATAGTTTCTATAAAAATCATTTACCAAAGTAGCCTCTTAATTCAAGCTGCCGCTAAACGTTTATAATCTAAAAGTATATATTTTTTAAGAAAAGGCTTCTGTCTCATTAAGTTAAAGCGAAGAGCCGACACAGATAAGAGTGTCGTGGAAGCTGAAATCACGTCCAGGCCTGTGAACTTGAAGATGAAACAAGTCCGTGCATTGTCCCAGGCACAGGAAGCAACACTGTGTTTATTGTTGTTCATTATTAAAGTGTTTATTTCTGGAGAAAATGCAGAAATACTTTGGTTTTTGTGTCTTTGCTCTCTTCAGTGCATGTGCTGGATCATTCACTCGCTCGCCCCCCTCTCTCTTCCAACACTACAGCCACCATCTGTGTTGGACATCATGCGGTCACACTCCTCAGACATTCAGCATATGACGGCTCTCGGTCTGTCGCAGCGGATGTAGCTGGCCCTCTAGCCGCTATTAATGAGAGCTGTGCGGCCGTGGGCCTGCTGCCTCAAACGAGCTTTAAATCAAATTGTGTAGAATGTGAGAAGCATGACTGAATGTGTAATCAGAAAGCTAAGAATTCACCTTATCAGTTAGTCCATAACAACTCTCAGCTATTTCTCTCTTAGAGTTTATTCCACTCAGACCTTCACAGAGACGTCTTTTCATTCCTCCCCTGTTGTTTTTTCCAACTGTGCCGCCTATACTACCAGCACTGTGAGCAGACTGGAAGCCTTTGTCCTGCATTAAAAGTACTTTGATTAATGCAAAATACGCATTTGAATTAGAGGAGATCTACTTCCTTTGTCACAGTTTACTGGATTACACCAGGATAACGCTACACGAGATAAGATGTGGAAAATGATATGAGTTCCTAATGACGGAACAAATCAAGCGTTGGCATCTTGTTTGGCTGATGAGGGTAGTGGCGTTTGTCAGTGGCATTTCATCACACATGCCCACTGTGGCTCTGCTCACTGTACATGGAGCTGTTTAAAAGTAAATGTAATATCTTCTGATGGGCCTGGAGCTCCAGTGTTTGTTTTCCCAGTTGTCTGATCTGCGTTTTAAGTCATGCAGTGTTCCATTACTGAAATCCGATTTACTTCTCCGGGTGGCAAAGTCAATGTTTATCTCTTTTGTAAACCACAGTACATTCTGGAGGCCTCGCCAGCAGGCCTTGTTGCTAAGGGACTATGAGGAAACTTCAGCCCCTCCTCATCTCCTCCTCCCCACCTCTCTAATCCCCCCTACACACACACACACACACACACCACCCCTCCAAATTGCCCGAGTGTACGTGCCTGGCCGTCCAGTAAACTTCCTGTCTTGAGTATACAGATTTGCTGATATTAGTGGCATCAATTTACTTCTTAGAATTGTCATGCCCATGCAAATGTACACTAGATTTTTATCTGTGATTGTTTACTGTGTGTCTGGGTGTTGGTTCACACAGGAAATAGTCCTCTCCGTCTCTGTGGACTACACAGACATGGGCAGGACAGGCATCTGGGACAAGCGGAGGCCAAACTATGACACTGGGGACAAGCAGTGGTCGGCAACGCTAGTGTTCCTAATACTGTAGACACTGCTTGTTGCCGCTCTGCTCGGTGACCATGTGAACAGTTATAACCATGCCTGTGGCTTAGAGAAGCTGTAGAGAGGCCGAATGATGCAATGCAGCGCAACTCAGTGTCTGATACCAGGTGGCGTCTGTGCCTTTTTAATGTGGGCTCTTCAGAGAGCCCAGGATGTTTTATTGTTAGTCAATTGATTATCCTGTGTGGACCTGCAGTTGCTAAGGTGAATCACCCTAGTCTTATCAAAGGACTCGCTGACTCATGGAGGGAGTGCCACCTGTTCAGGTGCTGCCTACCCACGTAATGCATACCAACAGAGGCGAGTCACCGCTCACATCTGAATGGTCCCGAATTGAAGTAAGTGGAGATAATTGACTCCGTGTCAAACATCCCCACTATCAAGATAAACAGAATAACCTCATCTAGTTTCAGTTTGCTATGTTAGCTACTAATTACATCTTTCATACATGGAAAACATTCCTTTGGCTAACCCTGTGTCACATTGTGAGTGCTAAAAGGTAATCTTTACTGGAAGTCACTTTTTTTCATGTCAGAAAGTGCTACGAAGGATTGTTGTGGACATAGAAGCCTGTTTCTAGACTTTACCTGATATAGGTGCCCATTAAAACAGTTCATTTTTATTTATATAGCAAGAAATCACAACAACAGATCCCTACAATAGACCCTAAGATAATACAGAGAAAAACCCAGCAATCAGACGAGCGCGCACTTGGTGACGGTGGGAAAGACAAACTATTTTTTTAACAGGACGAAACCTCCAGCAGAACCAGGCTCAGAGACAGGCCGCTACTTGCCACCATATCCATGTGATGTTTAGTTATGCCTGTTTGAGAATAGCACATGTAATGGCCCAATGAATGCACAGAGACAAAGTTTTATTATGGATAACCTGTGTCATCTACGGAGGCAGTCAAAACAAAACGCAGTGTTTCATTAGTAAGGATAACCCTGGAAAAGGCTATGTCAGGACACCGGCCCTCATGGACTGGGATTGGGGACCCCTGGGCTATGTCCTGCTGCATATTAGAAAAGGCAATGTCCTCATCTGAGTCTAATAACTGTCTGGAGTTCAAGTGAGAACATGGCTTAAAATAGCTAAAAGAGTAGAGTGTGTTGTATGAGCACATGGCACATAAGTAGCTGTTCATATATACAAGAACATCATGAAGTGAAAGCAGCACTGTGATGTGTCTCTCTCCAAATGTTGCTAACACAAATTTGGAATTTTCATTATGGATAACTCAGTCATGCAGTTACTCCTCCACTGTTTTATTGCTCTTTTCAGTCACTTTTTAAACACAGCTCCACATGGTCCCTGATCCTAGCTTCTGTGGCGTGACGGACAGTTTGGTATTACTGATTAGTGATTCCTTTTGGTTTTGTACTGGTTTAAATAAAGCTCGAAAATTGCTATACTTCTATTTTCAATTTTCGGCTTCCACCGAGTATAAAGAATCATTGTGCACTATTCTATTTTTTAATAGTGCCACTGTTGGTCTCGTGTTAAAAATTTTTACACTGTAATTATTTTTTGAATTTCAGAGAAATCCCCGAGTAAAATTATTTATTAATTTTTTTTAAAGAAAATCCCAACTGATCGAACTCATATTTTTATTTCTGTTTGTTTACTATGTTTCTGTTGCTATTTCTTTACTTCTTTTACTTGTTTGCCGATAAGCCAATATCAAGGTTGATATCAGCTGACAGCATTCCTTTTGATTATTGAATTATTCCATGATTTCCTTTCCTTAATAGTCAATAATAATCGATTAACGTAGTCAAAAGTACAGTCCTGGCCTAAAGGCACCTTTCAAACCTGACATACCATGAAGCCAGATCAGGAAAAGGTTTTGCAGCGGTGCTGTATCTTCCTGCTCTCCTGGAATGAATGAGCAGATTATAATAAAAGTGTTGAGTCTCGGAACAAGCTCAACCTTTGTCTAGAAAATGGAAGTCTGTTTACAAAGACATAAATCTGGTGCAAATTCCAACCATTGATGGTCACTTAAGTCCTTCTTGACCCGCTACACCAGTCACATATTCTACATTTTTTGCAGCGGTGTGTTTATAGAGAACTCAATAAACCGCCAGCACTTCAAACTGCCCCCCTCCCTTTTACACAAAGATGAGCTTTAGGGAAGCTAATGTGATTGTCTTTAAAGCGAGGTGATGGATTCCTGCTCATTCTTAAATCTGTTAGTCATCCTTTCTTTGCTCTCTTTTTTTTTTTTAATTCCCTCCCTGCAGGAGTTGTCTTGTGATTCACCGCTTAGCTTTCCTGTGACAGGCCTAATCACGATTTGAAAAGGCCAAGTTAATCGCCCGGCAGCACACAAATGTGATTTGTGGATTGACATTCAAATTGGATGTCCGTAACGTTCTGTATGAGTTACAATGACGTGGAGTACACGTACGAGCAGTCAACCTTTACAGACCACCGAGACCACATCGACCTGGCAACAAAATGATTCGAACGAAAAACTAAAGAAGCGCCACGCTGCACCTGCTTACAACTGCGTGGAACCTTTTGAACTTTCAGCAACCCACTTTGTTTCACTCATCAAAACAATGCAGCCATTCTTTTGCGGTAAACATCAACGTCAGGGTATCAGTAATTTTGACAACTTGTGGTCAAGAGTCTCTCAGGAAATTCAATACAGCTGTCGTCATCGCGGATCATCGTTCTTTTTCCTTTTTTTTTTTTTCTTTTTCCCCCTGGTAAATGTCACCAAACCTGCTTGTGACACACTGTCACCCTCATCTAATCAGTGGAGTGCACCTCCTGAGGAAACTCAAGAATTTGTGCTATGGAGCAGCAGCTTCCCTGAGTTATAAATATCCAGCCTAGCGGATATGCTGTGGGTCTAATCGGGTGCTGGGCCTGCTCTAAGGCAGGCTGCTGTGCAGGGAACAGTTTGGAGCTGAACCCTGCATGAAGCCTCTGTATTGTCTCGAGCTTCCTGTGCTCCCTGAGAGGAGGGGGCAGCCGCTTTTCACACGCTCCCCACACATGCACTCTATGTGTGCTTGTGTGCTATATTATGTGTGTGTGTGTGTGTGTGTGTGCGTGCGTGCACTGCGTATGCGGCCTAACAATGTGGTTTTGAAACTGTTAGCGCCTTCTTGTTCTTAACTGTACTGCACTGACACGGGAGCCATTCTCTTTCTTTTCTATCATTCAGCTTTATAATGATGAATGTGTGCGAGCTTGGCTGAACTTTGAATTTATTTACAGCCATGCAGCGAGTGTCAGACTTATTTCTCCTGACAGAAGCTGGGCTGTACTTGTCTTCATAATC